TCGTCCTCAGCGCCAGCAGGAGGACCCCCCCGCGCAACCTTCGCACGCGCGCAAAACTAAGAGCGGCGACCTTTCCCCGTTTTTCCCCCCCTCTTCGGGGGGCAGAAGAAAAGAGGGGAGAGTTAAGCCGTGTTATTGGGGACGGAGGGTGGGGTGGTTTTATTTTTCTACTTTTTAAGGTTTGCTCCGAATAGTGTTGGCCGTTCCGCGCCAAAGTATTTCCCCGGGGTTTTTTTTTGTTTTGTTTTAAGGAAAAGGGTAATGCTCTTATTGTGGTTGGGATTATAGAGTATATATTTTGGATACTTCTCGCTTTTAACTAAGTTTCCTGTCCTTGTTGCATTTTTGAAAAGAAAAAAAAATAATCCTTTCCCCTCTGTGCTTTAATTTTTTTTTTTTTTTAAGATTGCAACTAATCTATTTATGGGACTTATCTGTACACCCTGCTCTCCATCCCCCACCATTTTTTCTTGCTGCTGCATTCTTTTATTTCTTTCTCACTCCAGTTCTTTAGAGCTATTTCATCAAATTCTCACTGTGTGAGATTTTCTTCCTACTCTTTCCTCTACCAAAAAAATTGCTGCATTCCTTATTTCTTCTCATATCCCTATTCATTTGAGGGGGGAGGAAGAAGATTGTAACGGATAAATTGTGGTGAGATTATACTATTACTCTCCTGCTCCTACATCTACTCTCTGCTTTCTTCTTCCCTCCCAATGTTTCACTGATATTCTAAAATTATTTTCCTTACCCCATGTACTGCAAAATGGGATTCTGTGCACACTTCACTCGCTTCAGTTTCTCTCCATCTTGTGTTCTCAAGGAGCTTATTTTCTCTCTCCTCCAGTACTTCGGCAGCTTTATCATTGTCTTTCCATGGATTCTTGACTCTCTCCCTTGCATACACACGCCATGAGATTCTCTGTACATTTTACTTCAGTCTCTAGTAGTGTTTGCTTTGAATTGTTTTTTTATCAAATACTTCTGCTACCTCATATTAAAGCATAACCCCCCTTCTCTTGCTTTTTTCTTTTACTTACTTTTACTGTTTACTTTGCATGCTTCCTCATTTTTTAATTGTAATTGTCCCCCCCCCCCATATTACTATCATTGACACTCCCATTAGCCTTTAAGGTGCCACATGAGCTTGTAGGGGGTGATCTGTAGTAGACTCAGCCACCCTGGAATTAATTTGTGGCTGCTACTTTTTCTGCCCTCTGCACATAATGTTACCCTTGATTATCACTTTTTTTATCATGTTCTTGGTTTGTTCTATTTTCTTTTCAGCATCTTTGTTCTTGCAAATGACGGGTTCTTTTATTTTGTATGCAGTATTTTACTTTTGTCTCCATTGCTACCTCCTGTTGTCTTCCATTTTTGAAGTGCACTACTTATCTCTACGCATGACAAATTTAGGCTCTCTTCCACTGCTTACAACTTGGTCCTCCAATTTTTTTCTGTACGTTCTCTGCTTTTGTACTATTTTTTCTCTTTTATATCTGCAGCTCCTCCTAGGATGTCATTGTCACCGTTACTTCCTTTTGATCCCCACAATTTCATCTACCTTTAATTTTGCGATTTTCCTTTTTCCTTCGTTCTCATAATCTCTTACAGAGAGATCATCTCTTACCACTTTGTCTTAGAGTTCTGTGTTTACTACTTTCTGTTTTCCTTTCTCCTTTCTATAAATATGTATAAAGATGCTTCATTGTATCTTCTTACCTTTCTTTTAAAAAACACTTTATCTACTCAGTTGTCTTTTGTTCTGCTCTCCTATATTATCCTCTTTAGTCTTTAATCTATTTTTCCCTCTCTGCTAATCTGCTACATTAAGGCATTAGTTTTCCTGTTTCTTTTTGCTGCAACTCTGGGAAATGCTACATTTTATTTTAGGTGATTGTTTGCCTGATAACTACATCTTGAACTTAAGAACAAATATTAATTTTCGGAGGCAGTCGTTTTAGGGAGTATAGATCAAGTATCCCCTTATGTACAGATTATATTATAGTCTGTTTTGATGATTCAGAGGAATGAAGCTGTTTACTGAAATTGAGTTAAAATAAATATTGGGGCAGAAATGATTTTATGATGGTGGAGATGAGAAGTAGGGTAGTTTGGAGAGAAAACATATTCAGCTTCCTAATCAGTTTACTTGCTTGAAGACTGATTTTTAAAATACTTGCTCAAGAGAAATTTCCAAAGATTGTTCTCATCTGGGGCTTACTGAGTGATAAAGCATGTCTTCAGTTAAGCAGTGATCTCTGCAGCATCTTTACTTTTTTCTAAAAAAAGAAAGACTGCTAAGAACTATTAAGGATCCTAGAGAATGATGTACTAAAAATGATGGTATGTAGCTTGCAACTTGAGTCATTTAGAAGCATCAATCTTCTCTAAGGAATGCTGCATGTCAGATTACTTTGTCTTTAAATCTACAAGCCAGATGAGAACCTAGGTTATAATACATTTTCCTTTTTTAGCTTGAAACTGTATACTAATTACAATACCTCTTCTCCTCCTCTTTCCTGAAGGTAAAATAATACCCTACAAATTATGAGTCTGCGTCATTTGCCCACTTAGTCTTCTGTTCTTTTTAAAATACAAAGCATGACTCCAGTTTGAAAACATGAACTGAAGGAATAAATCTGAGGCAAATGCACTGCAGTCTTTCTTTTCTAAAAGCAAAAGTCTTCCAAGTACAAGATGAGTCATTTGCTTAGGTGCCCAGTCTCTGGAAACAGGCTTAGAACATGATCTTGAAAACAAAATCTGTTTGATCCTGTGATAACTCATATAAAGTTTGTGTGACTTAAAATATTTCATGCCTGCTATATGTATGTTATCATTAACAAATATCAGTTATGAAATATCTGTAGGTAAGTTGAAAGTGTAATTATTTTGGTGGTTCTGAATATTGTTAATCTCTCTACTGAAGCATCATCTATTTTGCATGAGTTAGGAAGTAATTTCCTTCCTCTTTATATCCTTGTGGAATTTTTTTTTATAACCGAATGACAGAATATGGGTTGTGGTAGGCTACTACAGTGCTTTTCCAGAAAATATTGGCAATCCTTGTTTTGTATTTTTGCTTTTGGAAAGCTGGAATTAATATATACAAATTTTGCATTTTTTCCCATTCTCTACTTTTAGTAAATAGGTAATTTAGAATCAGTTCTTAAAAGTCATCTTCAGATCTTTGGCTTTAAAATCACAAACTATATTGATTGTTATGCCTCCTTATACTTAATATGGTTTTTGGTTATCTAAAGAAATATATTTCTGGCTTATATCAGAACTAACGTGTGTCTTAAAACAGTCTTTAAGTTGCCTAGAAAGTGCAGGCTGCATGTTAATAAGAAAGAGATCGTGCATTTAATAGCTCAATCAAGGTATGACTCACTGATGCTAATTAGCTACTCTGACATCAAACTACAGTATAAAAAAACTTTGCCTCTAGCAACAGAAGTTTGTAGTGCCAAATTTTTCCACCCTGGGTCATGAATCAGGATTTTGTTTTATTATAGAAATCCCAGTGATAGAATAGAAATCCAACAAATGTTGAATTGTATGATATACCAAATGAACCATGCTTTTTAATTTAGACCCTTGGTTGGGCTTTGCAGGAGTGGGCAGGACACAATAAATACATACTTAATGATTAAAAAAATACTTTAAACATGTTAAATGCTTTTGTTGTTCATGCCCTTATTTATAAGTTAATTCTTAAGATCCCCTTATAGGGCATAACATAAAGGACAATAAGATTTGTAGAATTGATTACATGTTAACAATTTATCCGTTTTAGGAAGCAAGAGCTGTCCAAATTAAGCCAGCCTACCATTAGACATAATAAGGTGGTCACCTCTGGCCATATAGTTGTAGTACATGAATGGCAGCAACTTTACTTAATTTTTATTGTAGTGTTTTCAGTTTCATGTGCAAAATAATTTATCCAGTTCTCAGCATATGCATTGGAGTGAAAGAGTGGCACTGTTGACTGTGACTCAAACAACATAGTCAGCCACACAGTCAACTTGGGATCGGGTCAATGTGCATGTGACTTTTATAACTG